AAAGAAAGGTCATGTAGAGTTGGGAGAGGTCTCATTTTAATCAGAAATGTGCGGGCTACAATCATGCCTCATTAAGAAAGGTTCGGGTTATTTTTTGGGGTTTCTGAAAAACTGGTTTTCTAGAAAATCAGGTCTTCGAAGGCCTAGCAGCAAAAACCATTGTCATATTCGGAATCAGCATAGTCGATAACCTATTCTCCACTAGGTTTCAAGAAAAAAGCGAGCGGACACTTGGGGCAGTTCCCTCGTCAGCCAAAATACAATATTTCGAGGTCGGATTTGTTTTATTTTAAAGCAAAATAGCACTTCTATCGCTCCTTGGCAGAAAAAGTCTAATAATTTTATTTTTTCTGTGCCAACGCGAAAAAGTCAAATTTCCCGTTTTTTCAGTGAATATTAATAAAATCGCCTTCTCTGCCAGAAAACACAATTTTTGCTGTATGTAAAAAAAGTGTTCAATATATTTTTGTAGATAATTTTACGGCGCATCTTTTTGAATATTTATGTCTATGAGTTAAAAAGAGAAAAAGTTATAGTCAGAATACTGAGAGGCTCATTATTTCTGGACTACCCGATTTTAGCAAAAACTGGCTTTGCATATAATCACACATCATATGGATAGTTTTATTGAAGGTGATTTCTATGCAACTGCTTTTTTCTTTTCCTTTTACGACTTTTTTGATAAAGTCATCTTGAAGAATTTTAGTCCAGATTTTCAATCACTTTATTAAAATTAATTTTCGACTATCTCTAGAAAAACACCTATTACATTTCTCTATTTCTGTGGAAAAGTGATCGTGTTGATTCTACTCGTCTACCGTACCGAAGTTTTCAACTTCTTGGTCGGAGTTTTATGAGCCGTCTTGTGAAGTAGGTCTTGGAGTTCACAAAAATATCATTCTAATACAAGTCAAAACTGATTGGAATTATTAGTGCATTTTTCCTGCATAAAGTTGTTTTCTTACCTCAAGTACACTGTTCTGATTCGCTATAGATATTGTTGTCATTTTTGATGAATTATCTTGAATAACTGATTGAACATTGTTAATAACTTTTCTATTTGCAGAAGGTATCCATCGTTTTAAGTAATCCATGCATTATGTTTTCTAACACGGGCTAAATTTTTTGATCAATAACTATGCTTTCATTTGTTCACCGGATATACCGCTGTACGATAGGATCATTATGAAACGCTAGAAAGACAAATCGTGAAGATAGGTTCAAGGCAGGTTATTAATTGCTTGATTTTTGAAAGATTCATGTCAAGAAATAAAAGAAAAAGAAACGTTTATCCTACTGAATATGTTTGAATGTTATTTTCCATTGCTAAGTGATCCGATCTATCGTGAAGTAAATTTCTAGAGATCTAAATATTAATAATAATTCATCAGAAGAGTGTAAAACCTAGATGAGTACTCGTGAGAATTATCATTTTTCATCTAAATCAAATAGAAATTTTTTGTTTTTCCTATACAGATATAAAAGAGACGATACTTGTTTCGAATATATAAATAAATAAATAAATAAAATGAGTTATTTAAATTGTAAATGGAAGAAAATAATAACGTTTTTGTGAAGGCGAAACTCATTATTATTAAAATAGATTCCTCATAGTTTATAGACATCGGATCGAAATAACTAGTATTTTACATACACATGAAAAATAGTAAGTTATTACAAGAAAATATAATTGCCATTTTCGTTTCAAAAAAACTAAATTTTGACCTTAATCTGCTGATGTACAGCAGGGTGAATACAATTGATTGTAGAAAAATTGTTGACAATAGTATACTGTTCAAATGTGGACATGTTATCCAGCTAGTGATAGCATACGATTTCCTAAAAGTGAATTGAGAATCTCCTGTATTAAGTGGTTTGAAGCATTAGTTGTACAATTAGAAAAAATAATTCATGTTGATTGAGGACTTTTTTTCGACTACATATGTCAACTGTCACGATTTCGTTGTATAAAAAATTAATCTGGCATAATAAATGAAGATAAATGTCTTTAATCGTATATCCTTGCCTAGTTATTAATAGATTTGATCTAACGAATTCATGCTCACTAAGTAAAGTTAATTAACACCCTACAACTATCTTTTAACGTGTAACGGAGTACGAAATAATCTATTAATTTATAGATATTGTCTTTTTACATCTCATCAGATATTATATCGATAGTTTTCTGATGAAATGAAATAGAGAGAAAGAGAGAGAAAAGAAAAGAACATACATACTGTTGTAATTTATGTATGTAATAAACTAAACAGATGATTTATTACAAAAAATTCTTTTTCCTTTTTTTTTTTCCTTCATTTTTCATATTCATTGTCATCTCATTTTGATTGTTCTGTTGATGAGACAGATCTTTTTCTTCCATCTATAATAATGCAATCAGACAACAATTCTCCTATAATTATTCTGTAGCTACAAAGTTGATATAGTCAATAAATGAACGAAGGAAAACTAAACCATAGTGAAGGTCTTCTCTCATTTCTTTTGTTTATTCGACTTTTTCATCTAATCTATCTATTCTACTACTGCTGCTGAAAGCAAAACATATGTCGTATAATCAAAATGTAAATTGTTACGTCAAATAATATGTGTCAATTTTAATTGATAATGAACTGTACCAAAAACGAACATTTCATTGTTAGAATAAAGTTATCAAATGACTCGAGCAATAATGGCGACTACTACTCCATTTTCACTACCAAATACTACTCCATCCACAATTTGTGGCGGTTACATTGATATTCATGGAACATGGCAAAATGGATTTGCTTGTCCAATAAAACATTCTATTCAATTATATTGCTGTGGTTCAGATATATTTAAACATTGTTGTTCTGATATGTTACTGAGTCAAAGTGGTTTACATTTGGATGATAATAGTAATAAAGATCATGATCTATTAAATTCAAATTTACTTATTAAATCATATAATCGTTCAATGATATCAACGCGTGAATTTGAACGTTTTCAATCATTATTTTTACCAATATTTTTGTCAAGTTCATCAATATTATTTTTAATCGGTATTGCCCTTTGGTTTTGGTTGTGGCGACATAAAACATTTTATTCTATTGAACATGATGATGAGTTGACTAATGTTGGTAGCCATGGTGGTATTAGAGGCGAAACTAATATAAATTTTCAAAACAGAAATGATGAAAGGAGATCTACAGGTAATTTAGTAGATTTTGTTCGGCAAAATTCTATTAATTATCAACAATCATCACATCAATCGCATTTAAGAAATAACATTCGCACGAAAAATATGTTACCTCGTCGTCAGAGTAATTATACAACGATTATTGATAGAATTGAAACGATCAGACAACCAACAGAAGTTTGATTACTTTACAACGTTCATTTAAAAAAATATATACACAACGGATGTGCATAGACGACGTGCAGAGGAAAACTGTTACTGTACAAATGACAAACGTTCAGATTTTTGAACCTGTTTTTATGGGTGAAAACAGTCAATATCTACCAAGTCATTTTTCTAAAGAGAACAAGTGTGTTAAAAGTATTATGGAAACCCTCATAAGTAAAAGGAGAACATTAGTGAATTTGTAACAACCGAGGCCAAATTTTTTTAATCTTTTTTTAGTTAATAGTCGTTTGTTTTCACAGATGAGTTTATATGTAGTGATGGTAAACATTACTATAACTTAATATGTATTTATTGTCAGATAGAATTCCCTTAATATTTTCGTTACTTAATATTTTTCAGGCAGATAAACAGTTTTGAAACAAATCTTTTAAAACTCATTTGTATGATACAGTTTTATTTAGAGCGCGATCACTAACATGGTTTTAGTTTAAAATCCTTGATTTTTATTAACTTCTTTTTTCTTCCTTTTGTATATAAACACCCATGTTGAAGAAAAAAAAGAAATGAAAAGCTGTTCTAAGCAATAGAAATATAAAAACGATTTTCTTTAAAAGCACGTTACTCATATGTAACAATAATAAGGTTAATGCTTAAGATTACTCATAAAGATAAAAACAACAAAACAAAGAGACAGATAAGCTGTACATAATGATTGCATAGAAAGAATAGTAAATAACATAAAATCCATCAGAAAATAGTGGTATTTTTAAAAATAAATTGTTTCATTCATTAATAAATAGCGATAGATGCTGAAAATAGGAATGAAGAAACTCAATAAATATGGAATGTTTTATTTGAGATCGAAAAAAAACACTTTACTACTGTTTATAAACGTGTTTGAATTGGTTTAAGATTATCAGTATAGTCAAATGCTGGATTATCATGTAATTGAACAACATGACCGTTTGGTCTGTTCAGTTTTTCTTCTTCATATTCTAGATTATCTTTATTCTTAATCTCTAATGCATCTAATTCTTTTTTGCTAAGTTTTTCAACAATTGCACAGCCAATACTGTCACCCCAAACATTAATCGCCGTTCGAAAACGATCCCTAAAACATTCAAACAATATCTCAACGCATAATATAGATTTCTTATATTCTATTAGATTATACGTTCAGCTTGACTATTCTAATATTAGATTTAAAGATACTGATTTCTACTTCATTAATCTTTTATCTCACAATTAACTATATAAAAATGTTTACTTACAAAAGCCAGTCAACGGCATAAATTACTTTTACTTCATCACTGGGAAGACCTAATGCATTTAAAACAATAACCTATAATAGAGCGGATCAGAATAAATTAGTTTTTAATGATTAATTAATGCTTACCATTGTTACTAAACCTGCTTGAGGTATAGACGCTGCTCCAATACTAGCAAGAGTGGCCGTAAGACTAAAAGATGTAATAGTAAATTATCCTGATATTTAAGCACATTGTTTTATCTCTACCTAGTTATTATAATTTTAACAGCATTCAATGGAATGCCGTTCAATTGTGCAATATATATGGCTGCCACCTATAAACGAAAGACTAGAATGTTGTCTTCAATATTGTCTGTTGTTTACATTTTTGATGATATGCTTACTGCTTCGTATAGAGCTGTTCCATCCATATTGACAGTTGCGCCTACAGGCAACACAAATCGCGATACTCTGGGATCAATGTGATTCTTTTCTTCAACGCATCTGTAGGTAACTGGTAATGTTGCTGAACTATAAAGACAAAAGAGATGAATTATTTGACTATTGTGATAAATTTACAACGTCATGAGTATTATAAAGTTGTAGTATTTTCCTTACCTTGAACCAGTGCCAAAAGCTGTCGTTAGTGCTTGACCCATATTAATGGTATATTGGAAAGGATTTCTTCGTGTAACTAAGAATAATATTGTTGGTAATATTATGAAACCGTGTATCGCTAAACCTGCTAATACAGTAGCCATATATAACCCTAATGAGCCAGCGAAATCTTCTAGCCTATCCATTTCTAAGATTTTTGCAACAATTAAAAAAAATACACCAATTGGACTGTACCTAGTAGCAGCCAGAATAGCAAATGTGCAAAGATTAATTCAGAACAAGTAAGCGATCTGGTGAACTTACAACATAGCAAAGCGAACAAGTTGCATTACAACTTCGAGCAATGCATTAAAGAAATCCTTTAAAATTACTGTTTTTTCTTTCAATCGACTAATGATAATACCAAAAAATATACAAAATAAAAGAAGACCTAAAATAATTACAAATAACTTAACTACTTAATAGATGTTTATGTTCATTCTTACCCAGTACGTTGATTCCATCACGTTTAACTTCTGTTGCGGTATACTTGGTTTTGTATACTACTGTAATGTAAAGAGACAAAATTAGAGAAATGACAAAAACTCTTTCGCCAAACGGATACTTGTAGCACTTGAATCGTTAGCGAGAGTAGAGCCGACAGTTACATTTTCGACTTTTAAATCAGTACCAGCCTGAATGTACATGAGATGTTAGGTTTAAATATTTCAGTAAATACAATCAAAACTTTACTCACTGCTCGAAATGTTGCTTCCACAATATTGTCTGGAAAAAGATTTCTAAAAGTTGAAAACATAACTGGTTCATCGTATTCTACATGTTTTCTAATTTATCATTACCTTAATAAATCTAAAATTGTGTCTACCGTTCTTCCTTGAGCACTTTTTGCTTTCGCATTTATTTCTGCTTTTTGACCGCGCGTTCCCGGTCTTATTGTTAACACCAACACAATACCCACTATGGCGGCGATAATTGTTGTACCAAAATAATAAATCAGTGCACGAATACCCATTTTTCCTGCTGATTGAGCATCTAATTGGGCTAATGCCGATATGATACTCGACACAATTAACGGTAATATTAACATTTTAAGAATATTGATAAATATTATTCCAGGAAATTCAATGTAAGTGATATCGTCTGGAGTGATTCGACAACCATTTATTCTTTCATCTGAATGTTAGAAAAAAAAAGTTTAAACTCCTATTAACAAATCATTGAAAATATCTTACCAGTGTTGCATTTGATCGGTCGTAATGCAATACCAACTGCGATACCAATAGCCACAGATGAGATAGTTGCTATTAACAATAATTGCTCTTTCAACGACTCTTTTGAACAACGACATTTTGGTGAACAACGTACCATTATTATTAGAAATATTTCTATGAGAAAAATGAACCAAAAGATATTTATCTAATAAATTATCTCATTTTAACATTGTTACATCAATATTTCATTCCAGTAATATCTTCTTATGTGGCACTGTGAATTCTGAACGGCAGACACTTTCTTACTGTTCCCGTTCCCTCCTGATGAAAGCCTCAGCTAATGTTGGCTCATTGATCCGAAGGAAGAATATTTTACTCAAAAAACATTTCAGTGAAAAAAAAATATAAATAAATCAAGTCAAAGAAAAATAGGAATGTTAAATTTACAAGAACAGGAAATATAGCACAAAAGAATAGCCTCTTAGAGAACGCCTCTGTCATGTAGCCACTTCCGTACAATCGCATTATAGAAACACTTTGCTATATTCACAAACTTTAAAGTTACTTAGTTATTCAGTTTTAACTATATAGATAAGTATTAAACAAGCCGTCGTTCGTTATATTCGTAAAAAAGATACTAATATAAAAAGAAAAACTACAACAATGTCAGACTTTTATATCATATAAACACTTTTATCTATTTGGAATGAAATAACTTAAAACTTTCTTAGTACAAAATATGTAATATCCCCATTTTAAAACATTACTTTTCACAAGATTATTCTTACTTTCTGACAGTAAAATAATAATTTGTTAGTGTACAGTATTAACGTGTTAGACGATGATGATGATGACAAAAGAAAAGAAATATATTTTAAATCCTTATTGATCTTTCAAGGTATATATAATTTACATGAATTATTTAGAATGTCAGTTTGAAATTTATTAACAAGTTTTATTGTGTTTTCAAGCAAGTCATTAGATTAAATCTCAACGATATTTTTAAAAATTAAAATAATTTATTCATTTTTCACACATTTTTATTGATAGTTTGAAGAAGAAATGACATTGTTATTGCTAAGAAAAAAATAATAAATAATGTAATATCAACAATTGTCTCTGAGCTATGCAAAGATATAACTCGAATCATATTTATATATTTATACTATTATCATCTAATGGGACAAAACGCATGCACACACACGTACGCATCGAAACGAAAAAGAGACAATTTGTAATAATAAGTGTCTCTTTAAAATTTAAGCAGCATTGATAGCTAACAGAAAATTAGAGATTTACTAAACACATCAGCGAGTTAAGGCTTCCCTCTATCAGAAATGCTGATTTTCTTCAGATATGTCGATATTAAGACTAACATATGGTTGGATAGCACAAAGTATTCTCTTTGTGTGAATTACTTTTGGTGGCTTCAAAGTAGATTTCTACCGGTTTGCTAGCAAGTTTTCCAGAAGTCCTAAGAAATTCGAGTTTTTCATAATCCGTTCCATTGTGAGATCCAATATATAATCGTAAGGTTTATACATTGCAAAGCAAACACATCTGATAAAAATAAGCTGTCTCGCACCTCTGCAGGATGTTTGGGTCAAAAGTTAAAACTGTTTTACTAAACGTCTCAAGGAATCGTCATCATACACACAAGTACCATCATATCTCAAAATCAACTTTTTACTTTACACCTTTTGGAGTTTTCTAAAAGTTTTCGTCCATCAGATCTCACAGAGCTCGCTTTGGTCTTAAATTGAAACTGATACTTGTAGCTGTCCATTGACAGAGCCCGATTTTTGACTTTGATCAGGTTTTATGGAAAACTACAGATAAGTTTTTGTTTTTTTTCGCTTTTGGTAGTTGCCAAAAAAAGATGTCGCAAAATTTCAAAACTCGGCGCTGTTAATCCCTAGCTACAGGTGTTTGTGTCATTTCAAACCATCGCGAGCTCTTTATTGTTTACTTGGATATTTTGGGTATCGGCAACCCCTATCTTTTGCCCCTTAATGTGGCGGCATATCGTGAAGGAGATAGAGTAAGTCAAAAAAAAATTTTGTCATCATACTTTGGCATGGATAACATTTCCTGAAAATTTGATCCATTTTAGACTTGTAGTTTCGGAGATAGGCTTTTGACAGAGGATCTTAAAATAATACTGTACTGTAAAAATTATTTTGATTATCCGAAGTTATAAATGAAAAAAAATAAAATTCTGTTTGTTAGAGGGATTTTAAATCTAACTTATTTCTGCCTGTGAAATTTTGATTTATTTCATTCATTTTTTACGCAAATGTGCATAAATGATATAAAATCGAAAAATAGTAAATTCTGCAAAAAGAAATAGAGAGACAGTTTTTAATTAATAAAAAAGTAAAAAAAGAATAGACACTTTTATTATTTTACTTCTTCATCAGACCAAATGTTAAAAAAAAGGAAGGTCTATATTTTGACATTATGTATTACTTAATCAAAAACAAAACCCTAAATAGAAAAAGATTACCCACATACGAAATAAAAAACGCGACAAAAATTACACTAAAGAAAAAAATTGAATAGGCGAGTCACCAATAACTCAAAATCATCTGTTTTATTGACGTATGATACTGAAGATGTTTTCTCTAAATATCCACAGTCTATAAAAAGTGTGTTTAATGACTTATTTTTGAGAATAAAAATGTAATCTAAAGCTCTTTCCACAATAATTTATTGAAAAGGAAACGTCAAATACTCATGCGCTCAGACTATTCATAACATAGAAAAATATTATCTGATATTGTTTTATCTGGCAATTATGCAGTTTTCTTTGTGATTTTGTGTTGGTAAATTAATAAAAGTAATGTAAAAGATCATCTAATGACGAACTGGATGAATATTTTCGTAATTATCTTCTCTATTCCATACTCGATCATTTTATAAACTAGACAAAAAAAAGTTTGAAAAGAAAATTCCATTGTCTCGTAATGTATCATCTGTACTTGGTCTTCAGATATTTTCTACATGAGCCTTTACCATGAAAACAGCTGTCGATCTCGTTTAAGCGCCTCTGAAATTTGAAGAGCGATGAGAAGTGACAGCAAATGAACTACACAGTAAAAAATAATGTCGCAGCACTTCTGAGAAAATTGTGTCATAAAAGAATGTGTCGTATGTTTGTGTCGCCGCTACTAAGAACTTTTAGACACAAATCTTGAAGTGATTTCAGGATCTATTCTGTTCAAAAGGTTGCTAAATTTTATATTTTACTACCACAACAGTCTTCATTAGGATTTTTCTCGACTTCTCTTCAATTTTGATGAGCTACGGGTAACGCTAATACGTAAAAGATCAGAAAATTTTCGGGCTTTTTAAGTTCTTTCAATTTCGAATTGAAGTTATTCGTGGAAAAAGGTCTATGTCCTTTTAACCTTTTTTTCTACGTTAAGCATTTTTTCGCTGACGAAAAAGAACCAGTCACAGGCCTTGACTACGCTATTAACCTCAGATCTGGGAAACGAAATGTTTTGAAGGTCTGTGAATATTACGAGTAGAGATGCACACGGGTACCATTTTTGTACTCGTACCCGTGCGCATCTCCGTATTTTTTTACTAAAATTTGGTGGGTTTTCCGCTAGAACCTTCCGATTTTCGGGTAAATTAAAAAGAAATAGAACCTGTACTCGACCCGTATCCGACAACTTCGTATCCGTATCCAACCTTCGGATCGGGTTGGGTTGCACATCTCTAATTACGAGCCGATTGGGCTCGTCGACATTACGTACTGCACCTAAAGCGAACCAAAAATGTTCTTGAAATTGAATAAAAGATCAACAATATTTGTTGATGTTGCAGATGATTATGTTGCGCATTATGTCGCAATTTGCGATACATTATTTTTTAGTGTGTACAGGTCTCTGCTTGAGATTAAGTCTAGATTTTATAATTGCTTTGACCAAGTTGAAAGTTGAAGTAGTCGAAAGTAGTAGGACAAGAGAAAATTGACTATAGAATGAAATTGACTTGTGCATCTTAACTTAGATGAGTTATTTCGAAACCTTTGAAATAATACCATTTTCATTTTGCCTAACTGCCGATCAATCAAATTAAGACTTGGTTTTATAAGTTTTTGCTTGTAATGATTGAAAGAAGTTGATGTACATTAATTTATTATGGTAGTTTAGATTATATTTTAATTTATAAAGCTCAATTGTGGATAAATAGTTGAAGATCATTCTAAACTTGTAATGAATGAATAGAATATACTCTGCGAGAGTGTAATGCATCCAGGTGAAATACATCCTTCAAGATCTTACAGGATCTGCTATTTTCTTACTAAAATCTTATGACAAGATCTTTTGACTCAGCTAAATGCAAAATAGAGTGCCTAGCTTAGGGACTTGGCTAAACACGATTTTCGGACTCCAGGATCCTACCTGTGCTAGAAAATATTAAAACAAGAAAGAACAAGGAAGATATATAGGGAACTGATAACAAGAAGCAGATATGAGTCTGAATGTTTAGATGAATTACTAAGATTTTTGAAGATCTTCTGGGAACATTTTTTTAAGATATTTTAAAATTATACATAAAAACACATACTTAAATCATTATATAGCGAGATACTAAAGTTAGTTTTAGTAGCAAATCAACGTCCAAATAAAATTCTGATATAGTCTGTCATATAACATACGTAAACAATATCTGCGTTAATAAGCAAAACCAATTTCTCGCTGATTGTTCAATAATCTATTTAGTAAAAACTTTTGTCTGTGTTGTAAATTAATAAATGATAATGTTTTTCGTCTGAAAAATGATTTTGTTCTAGGTAAAAAAATGTGTGTTTGACATTGTAGAGCACATCTGTGACTTCCATCACAAGAAAGTGATCATGACGAGCAGGCACAACAAATGCAATCGATTCCAATTGAATCTTACGCTCTGGAACAAGAGTAAAGGAACGCACAGTAATTTGAATGCAAAACTGAAACAAAAGTCTGCAACCAGGTAGGCGTTTTCGGAAGACAGATCCGATGACTTTCAGTATTTTCAGACCCGATCAGTACTAGAAATCATCAAAAGCCTGATCTCCGAATTCCGACTGCCGTACTCGATTGATTCTGGTTGATTTCAGGCGACGAATCCTGCTGGTTTAATAGACACGCGTATATCATTGCTTGGCAAAAAGATTCACCTTCTATTCTCAACTTTTTTCACGTCGACAAATCCATCTGAAATATCCCAGGTCCATGATTACGACTGTCGTAAACTATCATGTACGATGTTGGATACGACAGTAAACAGTATAGTAATTTGACATATACGTGCCGTAATCGTGTCGTATTTTCACGTATAGTATTACGATATCGTATGTTGCCGGAAGGGAAACGACAGTATAGCATTAAATACGACATCGTATACAATATCGTTTTTCATATGCTATCATGTTTCACCGTATTTCGTCTCAAATACTCGCCTTTTTGACCATATTTTTACATTTTTTTAAATTTTTTTTCCTGAGTTAATTTTCCTGTTACATTTCCTGTTAAATTTTCAAAAGTTTTTGTCACCAATATTTTCCCACCTAGAACATGTCCAAACGTGCCCTTAAATGATACTTGCAATAAATTTCGTAACGGTAAAGATCACTTCTTTTTGCCACAGCTGATGCAGAAACTGACTTTTACCCCAAAGCGAAACTTTCGGATTCGGCGCCACTCTCAGTAAGAGTTAATGAATACCATGACGAATTTTACAATATGTTCTTCCTCTATTTAGCAAAGCAGGGACAAGAACTATATTCTCTAAAAGTTCGAAAAGCGTTCCGTATAAAGTTCACGAGATATTGAACTCTTAAAGCTGAACTATATTCAGCTGTATTTATTTATTCTGAATTTGAATTTTGATAAAAACTGATGTTGGCACCGATTTTCTGGGAACATGTCACTGACATTTGCGCCAAGATCGCGTAACACACTCGCTGTAAGACCCGCGAAATAACCCATGTTGTCGAAACTGGCGGTTAACCATGGTTACTTTCACTACACTAGATAATCCAGATAATTCTATTTTCTGCAAGACGTATTTACCAAAAGTTTAAGAAAATGTTGAAACTAACATTAATTTTACATGGAAATATTTTTTCGCCATTTTGTTCGAAAATATTCCCTATACTTTTCCTATATTTTCTTCTTTGCTATGATTGGGTGACATCGTTGTTTCCGTTTTGCTGTTGGCTGACCAAAGCGGCCAATGAAGTTTTACAAGCAAAGTTATAAGAGAATTCTGTTTTATTATCATTTATTTATTTTTATTTTTATTATGGAGATTATGATGGTTTGATTGCTAGGTTCAACGTGATAATACTTTTAGTAGATAACTTTCACTTTAAAAAAAGGCATAGCGGTCAGATTACTTCAGGGGTTTTAATGATTAGTGGGATAAGAGAGAGCAAAATGGGTTTTACTTTGAATAATGAAGTTCCATGTTGAGAAAAGTATATGCCACTTTGTTTTTCACTTTGCTTTGCGAATTGCCATTTTGTCTTTTTTTCAACTTTTCTGCCGCCGAAAAGACGAAGTAAACAAGCTTATAGTTACATTTTGTTTTAAGTGAGTCATTTACGATGACTGACAGCATGACGTCTCAGAATAGGCAGAGTCTGTTAGATAATTTTGTGATTAATCGCTCATCTTAGTCATCTCAATTAGAAGAAGGTCAGATTAAGAATTATAATTACGTTGTACTACGTGGATTACCGTCACAACCGTCAGCCAATAACAACAATATTACAAACATCACAAGAAATCATAAGAATTTCTTATTAGTAAGGAGGGGAAGGGGTAGAGAAGTTAGTTTTGATCCATTTAACTGAAAGTGACAAAACAAAACACTTGAGAGGAATAAAAACAGTGGTGTACTTGCCTCTGTTATACGGTAGCTCAATAAAGTGTAAGCTTAACTTATCCATATTTTATTTTCCGTAGTGCTCCCTAGATATGCACCAATACCGATACATCAATATCAGATTGTATTGTAGTGGAGTGGTATCCCACTTGACAGAATTATTACTGTATACAGAAAGAACTTATGTTTTTATTCCAAAAAATATTTTTTTGTTATTATTTGTTAGAGAGAGAAATACTCATTGAAAAACTGCGATTTTTGCAAAAAAAGTTTAACAAATCCATTTTTTTCTTGATATATCAAACTAAATAATCATCTATATAATATCTCACATACAATCTAAATTTATTCTAATAAAGTGCGGGAATAGCTGAGAATCATATATGTAGATGCAGAGTTATAATTGTTCAAAACAAATGAGAAAGTTATACTACATAGTTACAGACAAATAAAATTAATACATTCATTTAAATGTCAGCTGAATGTCAAAAGAAAAAATAAGATAGAATTAACATAGTCTAAAGCTGATTTTCTTTATTTAATGTAAAGAAAAATACGTTTGCAGTATCATACCGACACAGTATACAGATACATTATCGATATCGGTGTTTACCTAGGGCTTACGATCCAGTTTTGTGCTAAGTAATTAAGGACTTCTTCCGAAAACTATGAAAAATAGATTCATGCTTGATATTTGCCAATCGATGTAGGGACATTTTTGTTTAGATATTAGTATTAAGTTTTCTTCGAACAATTATGGCATATTACCATGAGGAACGAGAACAGGCAGCCCTTTCTTCTACTACTTCTGAACAACCAACTGAAACATTAACAGACAACCAACAGCTTATTGACACGCAACCTTGTGCCGTTTTTGATGAAACAAAAACAACAAACGAAGAACAAAGAGAGCTTCCGATAAAACGACGATTACGCTCAAATTCATACGATAAAGCTGTTAATACTGTCGTCACAACTGATACGGATGAAAAACAATCTGGCGATAATTCAACTTCAGTACCAACAGGTAATACAAGCGAAGAAATAAAAGATCAACAAGAGTTAAAGCAAAGTGTTCAGCAAAAACCAGAACCATCGAGTGTAACCGTAAATAATAATAATCAACAAGATGAACAAGCACGGCAAGATGATATATATTTCGTGAAATGGATTGAATTTGATACAAATTTAGTTCCAATATTATTACAAAATGAGAATGGACCATGCCCTTTATTAGCGATCATGAATGTGTTGTTAATAAGACAAAAAGTAAGCTATAAAAATAATGAAAAAGGATCAGTTGATTTATCTCAGTGTTTATTAATCGTTTGTGCAAACTATTTACTTTTCACCACGTTGAACATGCAATACTCAAAGTTCAATTAGTCTTCTTGAATATTATCATCCTATATATTCATCCATGAAAGTTCCATTCAAGAAACATATTGCTAACGACTATGTTACCAAAATATATGTTGTAAAATTTTTGGAGTAAAAATTGAACGCAAGGCAAAACAGTGACACGGAAGAAAAGATTTGCGTACAGAATACCATACAATTATCTTGTATATATTCTTTTTCTTTTTCATTACAGAATACTATACTTAATTTATTCCATTTAGATTCGTCTTAATGGCGACGTTTGCATATTATCTGCTGACCGAGTTTTAGCTTATTTAGTCGATTTCTTATTCAAATGTATTCCCAAAGTAGGTTACCTTTGTTTTCTATGATTTCTTTCAAGAGATCACATTGTATATATCTTAGAATATACCAGCTGAAGAACGATTAAATTATGAACAAAATGTCAATGATGCTATGGCTGTACTCGATAAGTTAAAAACGGGCCTTGATGTCAACGTTAAATTTGATGGGTAGGTTTCTATATTTTATTTTATTAGAGAATGAGTACATGAAAATAAGTGAGTGGTATTGCCTTTTTTCTGCTATTTCTTTTCATCCTCTTTGTGAACTAAATAAGCTTGTCTCGCTATACAAAAACGTGTGCAATTATCTACAAAAATTCCTATGTAAATCAGCGTTTCTGCTTTCGTTTGAAGCTGTTCTTCGAGACTAGTGTTTGACAAGTTGTACCTATTTCTAATATATTTGAAAAACTAACGGTCTCTCTCATTATCAGTGTTCATAAATTTGAATATACACGTGAATGTGTCATATTCGACTTATTGGGTATACAACTGTTACATGGATGGCTTATTGATCCACAAGAAACTGAGTTATTATCAATCATCGGTGATTTGGGCTATAATCAATTAGTTGAAAAAATTATTACTCAAAGACATTCGGATAAAGAAGAGTTAATACGTGAAAGTAGGTCAGTTTTCATATACAAGGACTATATCATTGTCTATTAATTTGTATTCATTTACTATATTTCTCAAAATAGGTTTATTAATCGAAGAATTTTTAGAAAATAATGCATCACAATTAACATATCATGGTTTAATCGAATTAAATCAAACAATGCGTGATAATCAATTAGCTGTGTTATTTCGAAATAATCATTTTAGTACTATTTATAAAAGAAATGTAAGCAATGAGAAAAACTATCCCAAAAGTGTGTGTGAGTTAGACGCAGGATTGCCACCTTTTCTCACTTTTTTTCATCAGCAAAATCTACTAAAACACATACTTATCTTCAAAGAAAAGTTATTAATTGACTATTTTTTCTAGAAAAAGTAGCTAAAAGTTTTTTTTCCGTTGATCCCATTTCTTCAGCCGGCAACCATGGTTAGACGTTCCATTACTATATCATATACAGTACACAATTTGCCAGTAAGATTATATGAGGACTATTGAGAGCATGAACAATGAAATACTTAAGGTCCTCTGACCGAAATCTACCTCGGTGACCATAAGTTATATCCTGACAAAATTTCATAGAATGTCGAAGCATAGTGATGAAATTTCTTTTTCCATTCAGTCATCATCAGTTCAGGAGATGTAGCCACAACAGTAGTCAGAATGTGGCTGTTCAAATTTCTCATAATTTTTCATTCGGATAGATGCTGAAGAGCTCGGGTTGATTCCAAAATGAAACTATCACATGCGGCTAGAAGTTAACAGAGTCGGTTTTTAAATGTTTGTGTTTGTTAACTATCGGCAGTCATCAGAAGCTAAAAATCTCAACAACCCTCCTAGTGTATTGTACAGACTTTAGGGCTCTTAGTAAAACTATTGTAACCTTTGATCATACCGCCCAGTTAACGTTGAGAAGCATAAAATTTTAACCAAAAGTATTTCCTCTACAAATTCCCATCGCTGATATCCTTCTTGCTTCTGAACTTTTACTAGAATATCATCAGCATTTCAGAAAAATCAGTTTTTTAAACTTTTTAGAAAACTTCTTCAGAAGAGCTCAGAAACCTCTAATATTGGCAACAACAGTATGGACTCTAAGAATAAACATCTTGGATTATCGAACCAAGTGCTTAGCTCAGTATCAACTTTTTATGAAAAAAATCTATGTTTCTGAGATAAGCAAACCAAGGAAGGCTATATTATAATTGATAATTTTATTTTTCAATATTTTTTCAGACTCATTTGCTTGTATTAGTGACCGATCAAGGGTTTTTAAATCAACCAGATATTGTATGGGAAACGTTAAGAAATATTGATGGTGATAGTATTTTTTGCAATGGACATTTTAGAATATTTAAAAAACAAGAAACCGAAACTGAGCATCAAGAGTAGGTTTGTTTATCTATACAAGTCGTAAAACTATACATAAAATTTTTGATAAAATGCTTATTTCTAATGTAAATAAATGCTGAGTCTAAGTATGCATTGATTAATAATCGATTTTACGGCATTCAGTAAAATTGTTTTGAACCGATATAAAATATCTCTTCGAGCTGACAAATGTCTCATTTTGTAAAGAAATGTTTCGATAGAAAAATTCTGATGTTATATGTAGAGAAAATATAATACATTGAAAACGCACTAAAATCGTAAAAAAGAAAAAAACGATCGTTTATTATTTTATCACGATTTTGCATATTTTTGAATGTCTATATATCCTATATTTCCTGCCTATATTTCGGTTAAAAATAACATTATAACTTTTCTAACGTTCCAGTTTTGTAGAGTGAACATTTCTCTACAGATATTTGGCAGCTCTAAGAGATTTTATAATCGAGTCAAAACAATTTTGCCGAATACCGTAACATCGATTCTTAATCAATGCATATCTAGCTGAGTCTCTTATTTAACCACATAGTTCGTAAAACTTGAAATATTTCTTCTCTTTTATTGTTTAAGTTATCGTATGGCATTGGCTTTACGTGATGAAGAAGAACGATTATATAAAGAAGGTGATACACAGGTCGGAGACACTAATTATCGTGCACAGCAACAGCAGCAGCAGCAGCAGCAGCAGCAACAACAACCGCAACAGTCACTTCCAAGACAAAGACAGCAGCCACAAGGTGATGTGCCAGATAAAAAACATCATAATAAAAAAAAATCTAAAGAACAATTAGACAAAGGACAGGATAATTGTATACTATCCTGAATGTATATAATCTTTTGTGAATATCAAAAAAAGTCCAAGTTTCTTTTTCCGTATTATTTACAGTGAGTTATAACTATATATATGGATATTTATGCCTGTAAAATCAGGTAATCAGTATGTGTGAGATTATTTTTTTACTGATTGTTTCTTTTTTGTGGTATTTAAAATCTATCTTCTTTTTCTGTATGAGCTACACTTTTCTTTTCCTAATGCACGTTAGTAATGACCCAATGCCTAATCAGAAAATCATACACAGACAGTCACTTTAATATCACTCTTTCTTTCTTTGTCACATCAAAAAATCACATGTTAAGCACAAATTTCTTCTCCTCATTTTACATAGGGAAACCTTAAAATAATTTTTTTTCCTTAAATTCGTCCTCTTTATGTCTTTTTATTTCAAATTCGTAGTGAACTGTTAAGTCAAAATCGAATTTTTTTTTTTTATCCAACATACATTTGGTTTCGTTACATATTGCGGGCTCTCTCTGTGTTTGTTAAATACATTTTCGTTTTTTTCTTAATATTCCGATTTTATATTTTTTATTCATTTTCTTTTGTTATTATTATTTGTTATCGTTGTATTTGCTCACGGGCTTTTTCTTTCTGTTCCCAACATACGAACAAAATCAAGAACAGTTTAACTAATCAAAAAACATATATGTTTGGATCTTTGCACTGTAATGAATATATTTCTTGAATTTAATTTCTAGACAAAAACATCATTTGAAAACATGCATTTAAAGGGTCCTTGAAATAATCGTTTGCTAATACGTTGGAAAAAGATATAGTTTTCGCACCGTTTCTAACGATTCTGTCCGCTTAAATATAGGAAGAAACTGCGGTAAGAATGCGAGAAATGCAGCTACCTACAAACAAATAAATACGAGAAAAATTTTCACACAGCACATATACGGTGTTTCATTTCGGTACATTTAGTTGAGCTGAAGTGTTTAAAAGAAAAGGAGAAGAGTAGGAGGGACTGGTGGAACACAAGTTGAGGATCTGAACCTTTTCATGCCCTCAGTATTATTATTTTTGAAGCATTTTAAAACGATTGCGTAACATTCGCTGTTAATTACATTCATCAAAATACGCCTTTTACAACGCTTAGAGTCCTAAAAGATGTCGACTCACACGAATAGATTTTGATATTATCAAATCATGCTTATCGTATCAATCGTCAACTATATCACAATTTACGACTACTCAGTTCAGTTACTTTGCAACTCAAACGATAAAAGCAGAAGTAAAGAATTCGTCGAGTAAGAATGTACATTTATGATAATAACACAGTTGCACCAAAAATGTATGTCCTTCTCTCCTAGCGAGCCTAAAAATTTCCCTGAAGAAAATTTGAGATGATGACATTTTTCTCTCAGAAGGTAATATCATATCAAAATTTCCAAAAATAATCCTTTCTACTTCCAGCGCCGCTTGCGCATGAGAGAAGATTCTTTACTTCTGGATAATAGAAACGAAATTTTACGACCATTTCTAGTTTTTACCTGCATCGTAGATAAAGGTGTAAAACGCTCAAAATATATACATAAGCTGTAGATTGTTTCCCGCTACACAAATTTGAACTAGTGTCCAGTTATGATGATGTTAAAATGTGAAATTTGCAGCGTTACCGTTCGTAACAATGATGAGCATCTCTTTCATTCATTTTACAACATCAAATCTCATCATTATATTTTTCATTTATTAAGAATATATGTTATCTGATGATAATAATGATAAAAACATCATGCACATTATTGTGCATGAATAATTTTCGACAAATGAATTCGTAAACGACTGCTACATAAAACCTATTAAGATCGTCACAGAATCTCCTATTGTATTTATTATTTCGAACTTGAAAATGTTCGCTTAAACGAATAAAAGCTTAAATAATTACTGACGACAAAAACAGGTGACGCCAATTTTTTGTTAACATAAGAAATGAAGAGAAGTAACAAGTAAATAGCGCGAGGCTTCTTAATTGAGATCACTTTTTATAAGTAAAGAAATAAAAATGATCTCAGTTTGGAAAACGAGCTTGTAGCTCGTATTTTAATAAAATATAGATTTCTAAACTGTATATAATAAAAATTATATATAATACATAGAGTAAAGTGAAAACTTTGTAGCTTGTAGCTTCTACTTTATTAAAATATGGATTCTTAAACTAGTTGTTATTGCATTTAATAGTACCTGATATGACACCTCCTTATTCGGTAATGCAGCAGAAACAGCTGACTTCATGCTGAATTCATCCCATGTATGAATACCGTAGCTTTGATAAACTAGTTTTGGTGACGTTCTAAATGTACCATCTGCATTCCAGTGTGAATTAATACTGAGAATTTGTAATGATGTTGGTGATGAAAAACCCAAAAATTGAATAAGGAGCTGGATTGTTACAAAATAAAACACATTTAAAGCGAATGTATGATACACGGAAAAACTTTTGTTTAACGTAGACATTTCAATACAATGTTTTACACTTTCACTTCACTCTATGTATTATACAATTTTTATTATATACAGTTTAGAAATCTATATTTTATTACAATAGGAGCTACAAGCTCGTCTTCCAAAGTGAGATCATTTTTATTTCTTTACTTATAAAAAGTGATCTTAATTAAGAATGAGTCGAATAAAGCTAAGAGAAATGGAAGAAAAAGGATGACGTTATAAATGACCTGGTACACTCTCAAACAGTACTCTGTACATCATCATCATCAGGAAAATAATAATATGACTAGAGAAAAATTATTTTATTAACTATTCTTATACATATATATATACTTTTGACGTAGAGCGAGAGAAAAGGAAGATTATTCGCGAGTTTTATTTAGACGATGGAATTTTGGCATCGAAAATAGAATTAATAATTTTGTTGATTTCAAAACAGATGTAGAAATGATGCTCTAAACTACCCTCTTCTGTTTGTATGAAACGTACTAAACGTGTTCTTTTATCAGGTTTTTTACACGTACATCTTTGAAACTTTTGATATTAGCAGATACATATTCTTCCTTTCCATGTTTCGTGATAATTTTTATGCTTCGTGCAAGACGTGTTGTTTGACAATTGAGAAAACATTCTTTTTTATCGGTCGGAGCTGGTTTTACGTTGGTTTATTTATTTAGGATAGAAATATTCCAATTCACTTGGAAAAACATAGCAAGATGAGGAAGATGGCGATGATATAGTAGTATTTTTAAAATGTTGTTGTTGCTGTTGGTTTGTCTGATCATTTTCTCTTATCATCGATGATGTTGTCATTGTTGGATATAAGTTTAATGGTGTAATATCACAAATTGATGTGTCTGTACGTGATGAAGAAGATTTTCCCGTTCCACTTGAGACCGTTGATATACGGTTTTGTTGAGAACAACGATAGGCAGATGATGCAGAAGATGTTGTTGTTAAATAAGCCATATTCCGATATGGTAATGCATGAGGTGTTGTAAATGTTAACAGACCATCATGTTGTTGAATTTGTTGTTTTACCAAGCTTTTTCTCGTCTTCGGTGGTTGCTTTTGTTTAACAGAGCGACGATTTTGAATAAATTGAAAATACAAATACATAAATAAAATACAGATGAGAAAACATATCAATAGACCAAATGCACCAGTTAAAAATGAGACATGATTAGAAAAACGATCATTCGATGATGCTGTTGATGAGTAGGTAACGGATTTCAATGTTGATGATGGGAAAGGTGTTTGATACGATTTATGTTTATTTGAAAAATAGATATTATCGTTGTTGTTATGGCTTGTTTGATCATCGTCATCAGGAACACAGCAATAACGTTCATTTTCTGTACCACAACACGCGCGTATAGGACCATTAGAAGATGACGGACAATCGAAACCATTATTCCAGATACCATGGCGATCGAGAAATCCAGGACAGCTTATACGCATCTTTTGAAATTGTTAGCAAATAAATCTAAAATTCATCGAAGTATGAAGGAAAATTCATTAAGGTATCCGAGAATGTTTTCATAGCGTTTATGACGCTATTTTTCGAAACTATAGATCAGATATTTGTGCAGCATAGGCCGTAAACGATGCGTATTGTGCTGAAGTGTTCACTCAATTAGGATGATCGAGTCAGCAGGTAGTATCTATCATTTTCCTTCTACCCTAACCGTCTATTCTTGTGTTGTCAGAGTCAGGCATAGGCGAGTCCGAGTCCCAAGTCCATTTCGAGTCTGATAATCTTTTAGATTCTTTTTTGATGAGTGTGGTTTATTTCTCTTTTTTAATTTACTGAGCACTGGATAGATATTTGATTTTTCGAAAATAAGATTACTTTGCATGTCCGTCTCCCAAACAATTCTTAATTTCTTGTGAAACAGACGGTGTTGTTATTTCGCTTTTCATTTTTCTTTGTTCATTTGTGTTAAAAGTTGAATAGATCGAACTCGAAATACAAAAACTCAAGTTTGAGTCCGAGTCCTTCAAAAAAATCTCCAGTACGAGCCCGTCAGAAAAGCTTCCAGTGTGGACTCGTCCATACCTGATCAAAGTATTCTGTGATATGAATAACCGTCAATCGACATTTGGGCGACCGTCACAGTTGACGCTTTTCAATGCGACGTTTCTTCGGATGAACGAAATAGATTTTACGCTTCTTTATCTTATCGGAGGTGACGGAAGGTAAGGGTAATGACAGTGAGTAAAAATATAACGTTCTGCACGTTATTGTTGAAAATTTAATGTGAAATTGGAAGTTTTAATTATTTTAGGTAAAGTTTTATTTAGCGTTTGATGTAATGCTGTTCTCATTCATACTCGGGTAGGAAGAACAAAAAGGTCGCTAATGGGAAAGATTAAGATATTGGAAGAAAAATCTTGAAAATCAGAAAAATAAAGTATCAAAAATCAGAAGACGTTTTTTTATCCAAAACTCAGAAGAAAGGGTTACAGATTAATTTCTTTAAACAAATTTTATTTTTGTCGTTAACCCTTTCTTGCCTCTAGTTAAACCTGAAGGTCTTGAACCAAAATATTATAGGGGTTATAGGTTATCGAGCATGCTGATGCCGAATATGACCATGGAGGCTTCCCATAGATCTTCGAAGATCCA